GATTTAAAAACCCCTAGGGTCTGGGCCGACCTCACATGGAGGGGCAGAGTGTTCCAGAGCCTAGGGCCAGCTGCTGCGAAGGCTCGGTGCCCTCGGGTTTTTAGCCTGGTCTTGGGCACTACCAGCAGACCTTAAAGCTCTGGCTGGGGTGTAGCGCTGGAGCAGTTCAGTTATATAGGCCGGAGCCAGCCCATTTAGGGCTTTAAAAACAAATAAAAGGATTTTAAAATCAATTCTGAACCGAACTGGAAGCCAGTGTAGTGAGGCCAGAATAGGGGTGATGTGGTCGCGCTTTTTGTGACCAGTCAGCAAACGTGCAGCAGCGTTTTGGACTAGCTGTAAGCGTTTGATTGAGGCCTGGTCCATACCCACATACAGAGCGTTACAATAGTCCAGTCTCGAGGTTACAAAGGCGTTAATAACCCTTTCTAAGTCTTTAAAAGATAAATACGACTTGGTTTTGGCCAATAGTCTTATTTTAAAAAAGCAGGATTTTACTACGGTGCTGACCTGCTTGTCAAATTTAAAAGTGCTGGTGAATGTCACTCCAAGGTTCATGACCGAGGGGAGGATGTTTTTTTGATAGAGCCCAGAATATCAACCGGAGAGGCTGGAGGTTGCGGTCCAAAAAAGATGACCTCGGTCTTGCTCTCGTTGAGGTTGAGGAAGTTTTTGCTCAGCCAGGATTTTATCTCTGCTAAGCAGTCCATCAGCTGCTGTAGTGAGTGTGTGACATTTGCTTTGAGAGGCAGATATATCTGTACATCGTCGGCGTAGCAGTGGAAGGGAATGTTATGTTTTGTGAGTATTGAACCTAGGGGCAGTATGTACAGTAGAAAAAGGATGGGGCCCAGAATCGAGCCTTGGGGAACCCCACAGGTAAGAGGGGCTTTGGCAGAGGAGAAGGCACCTAGCTGTACCGAGAAGCTACGGTCTGTCAGGTAGGACCTGAACCATGCAAGGGCAGAGCCTGTGATGCCAGCGGACTGTTCAAGCCGTGACAGCAGGATGCTATGGTCCACAGTGTCAAAGGCAGCTGTCAGGTCTAACAGCACCAAGACAGCTGGGCTACCTGAGTCGGCGGCTAGGAGCAGATCATTAAAAACTCTTAAAAGGGCTGTTTCAGTACTGTGCATAGGTTTGAAGCCAGACTGGAACTTTTCATGGATTCCATGCGTGGTTAAAAAAGACTGCAGCTGGGCGTAGACTACTCGCTCCAGGGCTTTAGATAAAAAAGGTAGCTGGGAGATGGGCCTAAAATCTGCGAGAATGGAGGGGTCGAGATTTTTCTTTTTAAGGAGTGGCTTAACCACGGCATGTTTGAAGGCAGCTGGGACACATCCTGAGGTAAGAGAGGTGTTTAAAAGTAATAAAATACTTGCTCCAACTGATTCTAAAACATCTCTGAGAAGGCGAGAGGGAATGCTATCTGAGGTGCCGTTTGTCGGCCGCAGGTGCTTGACTACATCCGAGAGAGCAGAGAGGGATACAGGCTCAAAGTGGTCGAGGACAGCAGGGCACAGAAAAGGAGCAGGATCTGGGGTAGCACTAGTGTGGGCTAGCCTAAGAGCAGATACCTTTTCAATAAAAAATGTAAGAAACTTATCACAGAGAGTAGTCGATGGCACAATAGAAGAAACATCACAGGGATTAATGATAGAGTTGAGGACATTAAAAAGAACCTGAGGTTTATGGCTGTTTTTGGAGATTAACAGAGAAATGTGCTCTGTTTTGGCTGCTTTGACTGCCGTCTGGTAGTCAGAAAGGCAAGCACGAAGGATTACTAGGGAGACATGGAGTTTATCCTTTTTCCATTTTCTCTCTGCACGCCTGCAAGCGCGTCTGAGATCACGAGTACAGTCATTGAGCCACGGCTCTGATAGAACTTTGGTGCGTCTAAGCGTAAAAGGAGCAACAGAATCCAGTATTAGTGTACATGTCGAATCAAACATGGAGATAAGCTCATCAGCATTAAAAGCACAGTTCACATCTAATTTACAGATCGGAGAAGCATTAAAAGCATCAGAGAACAGTGAGGCAGTCAAGGGGTTAATCGAACGCAGACGACGCGCAGGGGCACGTGATTCGACTCCTGCGGAAGGGATGGAGGTTGTAGACAGAACCGGTAAATGGTCTGAGATACGCGTTGCTGCACATATTTCAACCACAGATACAGACAGTCCAAACGATAATACTAAGTCCAAAGTGTGTCCTTTTTCGTGTGTTGGGCCAGCCACGGACTGAACGAGACCAAAGGAATCAAGGAGATTTAAAAAGTCCCTAACCAGAGGTTTGGACTCGCAACACACATGGACATTGAAGTCTCCGGAGATCAAAACACGATCATATTTCACCATGATCCCGGACAGAAAGTCAGAAAAGTCATTTATGAAATCCTTATTACACTTTGGCGGACGATACACGACTGCGCAGAGTATAGGCGAGGCCGGGTTCAGTTCAAAAAGCTGCAACTCAAAGCTGGCATAGCTAGATACAAGGTGAAGCAATCGGCATTGGAGGTTAGCTCTAAACTCTGATGCTATGCCCCCACCATGGCCAGTGGCACGGGGGGAGCTGAAGAATGTACAGTCAGGAGGAAGAAGTTCAGAGAACGGTGTATACTCGCCAGCGTGTGCCCAGGTCTCCGTCAGGAACATAAAATCCAGTTCACGAGAGGTGAAGAAGTCGTTTAGCAGGAACGTTTTGTTTGCTATCGACCTAGCATTTAGCAAAGCCATGCAAAGTTTTCGCTCCGGGCTTGCCGAAGGTGTAGTGCGTCTCAGCTGACGAAGATGTGCGTGTTGAACGCCGCGTGGGCCGGGAGCAGTCAGTCGGGCAGGAGGAGCTGCCAGCGGGCCCCTCAGAGTCCGGAGCTCCGGAAAAACGGGGCGAATCCACCGATCTCTCACTTGGCGTGCAGCGGGAGGGCCGTGACATCCGAGGCGTGGATAATTCACAGAAGAAGCCGTCAGGTATGCCTTCAGATGGACCAGTGCACCACCACGCTTTCCCCGTCGTCGAAAGCGCTTTCGGCGAGGCAGGATGCAGTGTGACCGGCGTAGGTAAGTGGGGATATCCGACAGTAGAGGTGGGGGGGGGACGATTTATGGTTGCCAGATGTCGGTTTGGGCAGCAATATCAACTCCAGTGAGGGTCTGAGGTGGAGGAGAGCTTGGCGATCATAAACGAGCAGAGCAGAGACATTTTGACAAACATAAAACAAAAACAGGACAGCTAAAGTTAGAGAGCTTAGCGAGCGGCGAGCCGACACAGGCGCCATCTTGAATCACGTCACTTGAATCACACGTCACGTCACGTGCTTGATAAACTAAATCATTGATGTACATCAACATGTGGGTGTGATATGGCTAGGCTAATGGTTGATAATTATACTTCCTACTCTCCAAACACTTCAATGTTGATAAAGTTATTCAAAGGATTGCCACATGCACACATCTCCATGAAAAGCTTTGAATGACTAAAAACATCTATCTGCGCTCTCAGGACTGTCTCTCACTCTTTTCTTATAACATCTGCCAGTCTGGAGCTACACGTTTGATTATAACATTATAATCCAGGTAGATGTGTGGCTGCGAGGAGCAACTGGTGTGATAGCGATTTCTTGGTTTCAAAATAAACTTTAGAAATAATATCCATCCCAGACAATAACTTTCCTCTGATGAAAACTCTACATGAATTCAGATCAGTAATACAGAGTATATTCAAACAATATAGTATCCCCCCCTTGACACCCATAGTTATTTTATTTTTGTATTTAAGTCTTTCTATTCTTATCGTTTTTAATCAATTGTTGTGTTCTCTGCATGGGAAAATGGACGTGTGGTGTGAGATTGTGTGACTTGGCAGCCCTGCCACATGAATGAGCACAAATGCTCTCTCTTGCAACATTAATAAGAGTGAGACATCATTTGTGTAAATGCCCTGTGATTCTGTTCAGCTCCAAAGTAGTTTGATTCTTGGCCCATGATACCAGTAGTTACCTTATTCTGTTAAAAGATAAATAGATAAACCATCAGATAATCAAACCAAACCAAAAGTATAGGGTAAGATAATCATTTTGTATCCTTTATTTTTATTTTCATAGTATATATATATATTGCAAAACAAATAACACAAAAAAAATTGGTTTTGGACTAAAAAGTTGAAAACAGACACTGATGAATATACACAACTAAAGAATAAGCCTAAAGCTGCCTTCACATGCTAGGAAATGTTTTCAATAGTCACAGCGGGATGGGGGGTGTCTGCACCCCAGCCCATCCCAGCCTTGCAGTGATGGCAGCTAGCATGTTTGGTTTATTTGGTTACCTCCTCTGCTTGAATGTGCTGCTTCTGGACATGTCAAATACAGCTGTTACCTCCTTACGGCCCGTCCACACGGCGGCGTGCGTTGAAGCTTCAGCGCTTCTGCCCATTCACTTTGAATGGGGTGACGTCACACTTTGCCGAACTGCATTGTGGGAGCGTCGCTTCGCTTTGCTCGCGTTGCTCGCTTCAAAAGTTGAGCAATGTTCAACTTTTGAAGCTTCGACGGAAGCGTCAGCCAATCAAATCATATGCCAGTACAAGCTCTAGCCAATCAAACCGCATGCTTGAGATTCATGTGATTGGTTGTTGGTCGAGCTTCAGACACGCCCGCCGGCAAGCTTCAACGCACGCCGCCGTGTGGACTCTGCGTTAGTTTCGCATGGAGTTAAGCAGCAATCAGTTTAAAATAATTTGAAATCTAAGTGAAAGGATTTGTGCCAATTCCAATGGGTGCCAAGGGCAGCAATTCCTGCCCCTTCTTACAATAGAGAAAAACAACAGCAAAGCCAGGGGCAAAGCGGTTTTAGTGCTGATCATGTAAAGGCAGCTTGAGTGAAACTCAAGTTGAATATGACCTGAAAAAAAATGTAAAACTCAAAAAATTGTATTTCAAATAATCAAGGACTTATTGAACATGTACAATACAATGACATGCAGATATAGAATCAACCCTATATATAGTATGCAGGGGTTGAGTACAACAAATAGGGGTTGAGTTTACGTTCTGCTGAAGCAAAACTGCTGTTCTCATGGGCCTGACGGCGGTAGTACCTGCGGAGGGCGGGACTGCCGGGGTGGCATTGTCTCACATGATGGAAGTACTCCTCAGGGCGGCTTGAGGTGTACCCACAATCCTCACACACAAAGATCTTGGAGCGTCTCTGGCGGTAGGCATACTGTTGTTGAACGGCGTGAATCTTCCTCATATGGGACTCCAGAGAGCAACGCTGTGTGAAGGCTTTCTCACATAGTTCACACTTGTAGGGACGGATACCTACAGCAGGGGAGACAGAGGGTTATATCTGCATTAGTGCATATTTGTGTATATGAATGTATACCTTCAGATTGGCATCAGTGTCTCATCAGTTATGTGACAAATCTTGCATGCAAATATCGGAGTCAGAAATGAAAAAGCTAACAGTGTCAACCAGGGGCGGAGGGGGGAGGATACAGTGTGAGGTGCAGACCTGGGCCATTACCTAGCCAGTGGGGAACCCAAACACACAAAACATGAACCTGCGGTTATTTTTGTTGACCTATTTTCATATATTCGTATTTACTAGGAGCTACAGTACAAAATGTTTTGGCAAGAGAGAATCATCAAAATAATAATAGTTAATTTTATTTTAGTAATAATAATAATAATAGCTTGCATTTATATAGCGCCTTTCAAGGGACCCAAGGTCGCTTTACAAGTAATAGGGCAAAACAAAAGTCAGACAGACAAAACAACAGATCGATTAGGGGCCAAAAGCCTTGGCAAACAGATGGGTCTTGAGGGCCCTTTTGAAGGCGTCGAGTGTGGGGATGTTGCGAATCTCCGCAGGGAGAGCGTTCCAGAGGGTGGGGGCTGCCACACTGTAGGCTCTGTCCCCGAAGGTTCGCAGTTTGGTGCGGGGGGTGGTGAGCAGGCCAGAGTCTGAGGACCGCAGGTTCCGGGGTGGGGCATGTGGGTGAAGGATGTCCGATAGGTACTGGGGGGCAAGGGCATGGAGGGACTTGTAGGTAAGGAGGAGTATTTTGTAAGATATACGGGACTTGACCGGCAACCAGTGTAGGTGGATGAGGGTGGGAGTGATGTGCTGCCACGGCTTTGTGTGTGTGAGTACCCTAGCAGCACAGTTTTGGACATACTGGAGCCTGTCCAGGGTTTTTTTGGGAACCCCGAACAGGACACCATTGCAGTAGTCCAAGCGGGTGGTGACAAATGCATGTACTAGGGTTTCGGCAACCGACTCCGAGAGTGACGGTCGGAGTCTGGCAATGTTCCTCAGGTGGAAAAAGGCCGATTTGGTCACAGATTTGACGTGGGAATGGAAGGAAAGGGTGGAGTCAAGGATGACACCCAGGTTGCGGGCTTCAGGAGATGGGGAGATGGAGCAGCCGTCGACCTCGAGGATGAAGTCACCAACCTTCTGGAGCAGGGCCTCGGGTGCCACAACCATGAGCTCCGTTTTATTGCTGTTCAGCTTAAGGTAGTTGGAAGACATCCATGTTTTGATGTCATGCAGGCAGTTGATGAGTAGTAGTAGTAGTAGTTGAAACAGAGGTCTAAATAGTGAAAAATCAAATGCAACTGACTGACACTCCTAAACAAATTAATGTAAAGGATTTTGTGGGCACATAGTCTAAAAGAGCAGAATTCCCACCACTGTTATGATCTGAGTTAGACTGCAGCCTAACTTATGCAGCCTTTGCATTCATGGACTGAATATCCACTAGGCATACATTACCTTAAAGCCGAAAATACAAAACTGCAATACTTTAGTAAATGTTTATACATGTATTCAAGAGTTTTGTATGAACTGAGCTGTATTATGTTATCTGTTGTGTTGATACACATGTGGTTTTGCCAGGTGATGCTTATAGCACAGGGGTACTCAAATACAAATCTTAAAGGTCCAAAAAAAATGTTTCAATAAGACAAAGGTCAGTTTATTACAGTTCAAACTTTTAAACAATTGCAACAAGATTCTTAACACGAGATTGCAAAAACAAAAATAATCTGTATGCAGCCGTTTTCATTGTTATTGTGTCTGTGCTTGATCCCTCAGAGTCGCAGTGTCAGAGCTGCACAGTTATGAATAAAGGCAGCTGCACCCTCTTTCATTCAGCATTCCCATTATTGCTTTATAAATGTCTTGCCCCCTTGTGTGTCCACTGAGGTTCGTCAGGCCCAACACATCTTCAACAAACTCCCCCTTTGCCTCATCATAAAAACTCACAAACACCAGCAACTGAGCATTGTCAGTGGTGTCAGCTAAGGAAATGCACTGCTGACAAAAGCTGATTAATCAAATCACCAGCCAGTATTTATGTTCTTCTGGTTGCTGTGGAAACTGAGAGGGGGATTTTCTTGATTTGACCTGTTATTTCCTCTTTTTGTTTGCCTTCAAACATGGTCTCCATCACTTCAGTCATGCATTCTTTTATACTTCAGTTATTATCCAGTGGAATGCCCTTACCTACTGGCCTAGTTAAATCAAAGTGGTTACTTTTGTTTGGCTGGGCAGTGTAGTTTTACACACCGTCTTATTTGACTTTCTCAGGACTTAAAACAGTTTTTTGGGGGCAGACCCCCACAAAGAAAAAAATATATTTACACACGTAAGGTCATCATCTTAACAGTTTTGTATGCTCATCCGTGAGCAGAGCATCAAGTTGACATGTCTATTACAGCTGAATGCGGCGATTACCATTTTGTTCAGCAAAACGCCTCACAAACTTATTAAGATCAACAGCTTTAGTGCGTTTTGATTCAATGCTGAGTACAGCCAGACTTGACAGTCTCTTCTCTGTCATTGTAGACCGCAAATACCTCATTCCTTCAGTACTTGGGTCAATCATATTTCCACGCTCGCGCCAGGGCCGGGGGAGGGGTTACAAGACGTGCATCTTGTGCTGCATTCACTTGCACTCGGACATTAGAGACTTTCTCTCATAAATGTCCGATGAGCCACAACTTTTCTTTCAAAACAAAGCTGCCAACTGGGGTGGCAGCTGGGGTGGCAAGGCCTATTTTTAGGGTGGCAGTCGCCACCCCATGCCACCCCGGTAGGTGAAACTAGGCTACTAGCTACAGTACAGATGCAACTAGATGAGCTGTTAACTCTCGCTCTGACTTTTTTTTTTGTAAACTCTCGCTCTGACTCAGACAGGTTGAAAGAGACGACACGACACACGCATTTTCCCCACCCGCATTCCGCGAAGACCCGCCCTACTGTGCCTCTGATTCGCAGACTGTTGGTGGGGGGGGGGGGAAAACGCTGACGGGATGCTGAATGTGATTGGACCAAAGTGTTGACAGACACACACAGTGTGGAACAGCTCGTACATGCAGAGCGCTGTTTGCAGTGGACATAGCGGAGAATTTTGACTCGTTGCGTTGTGGCGATGTCTCGCAGATAACACAGATAATACAGATAATACATATGAAAAGTATAATTTGCTCAGAGTCCAGAGACAGTTGTGGTTCGGTCCGGATCCGGACTGGAGTCCGGACTTTGAGGATGCCTGTTATAGCATCTATATTAATATAGAATCTTTTTTTATTTGTAATGATAATGAAATTTGAAGAAGCGTATTGGGGAACATTTAAAATCATTAGTGAGGGGAAGATAAAAATGATACATCTAAATTAGGCAGCACAGGACTTAAATAGTGAGATAACATCAGCCATTATTGAAGCAGCACAAGAATCTATTCCAAAAAGAAAACAGACTAAAAAGAAAAAGATTGTATTGTGGACAGAAGAATGCACAAAAGCAATTAAAAAGCTAAATAAGGCATTTCAAGTTTAAAAAAAAGTATTGAATACGGAAAATGTGATAAAGTATAAACGAGAGCTGGCACAAGTCCGGAAATTAATAAAAAAGACAGAAAGAGAGTATTGGAGAAAATATTGCAACTCAGTATAGGAGAAGTACACCTCTAGAGAGAGTATGGGGAAGAATCAAGAACATGTTGGGAATTAGAAAATAATTAAGTTATCCGGTAATGAAAAATGATAGGCCTGTAAGTGGCGCTGTAGTCTGCCACAAAAGCAGCGAAGAAGACTTCCCGCGCATATGGTAACCATGGTTACCCTTCTGTTTATTCTCTGCTGTGGCTTTTTTTCTCCCTCCCCGAGGCAAGCATTTGCTCCGGCTGCTTTAATTCAATGCAATCCCTCCCCGTCGAGGCAAGCACTGTAATTCTCTCCGGTTAGTCCACCAGCAGATGACAAACACCCACCTCTCCGCCTCTTCCAAGGAACGAGGGGACCGTGCGGCAGAGTTTCAGTTTCAGTTTCTTTCGCCTGTCAAGATGTCCGTTAAAGTTTAAATCTTCCGGACAAAATTAGAAAAGTGCCGGTCAAAGGTCTTCTTTGTTATTTATTGAGCTTTAAAACAAATGAATAACGACTCTATAGGCCTATAATAATCTAATAAAACCATAGACTGTATATATAAATAAAACACGGAGGACGGAGATCTTTTTTTCTCCCCCTCTTGACTTGATCAGAGCACGGCTCACCTCTCCTGCAGGGGGGCGTGGTCTCACAGAATCAGCCCCGTAGACAGCAAACAGCACATAGAGCGAAATGAGGCATGGCTAAAATGCATGATCTGTTTGGTATTTTGAAAACAGAAACGTATACATATACCTTATATAGGTATGGCCCTACAATATATAATTTAAATATAGCATGATAGGTCCACTTTAACTAAACTAGAAAATTCAGAGAAAAACATCAGATGTTTAAGGGGCAGAGAGTGGGGGGCAAATAGGGCCGCTCTAAAAACAATATATATTGGGTTAATTAGATCAGTGATTGACTATGGATGCATCGTCTATGAGTCGGCATCAAAAACATTATTAAGAAAATTGGATATTATACAGTTTCAAGCATTGAGATTATGTTGCGGAGCCATTAAAACCACTCCAGTTACAGCGTTACAGGTTGAAATGGGGGAAATGCCTCTTGAAAAAAGAAGGATGCAAATAGCAATAACTTACTGGGCAAATATAAAAGGACATAATAATAATCATCCAGTGCATAACGTACTAAAGTTAGTTTTGTTTATGTATTATGTCTGTCATTCCAAGTCTAGTCAGGTTATCATGTTATTTCACGTCATGTCTGTTATTTATGTCATTTATCTCTGGTCAAATCCCCGTGTTTCATGTCATGTCTCGTTTTACATTTCCTGTTTTATTTTTTACTTACCTCTTGTGGTAACGATGACGATGGCAGGAAAACACACAAAAGGAGGAAGTTTCAGGCCCTGTTAC